GCGCTGGCGTCTGTCTCACTATGGGTTGTGTCACTAGATGACTTTGATCTGAGGATATTGATGGAGTCGAGCGAAGAAGACGTTCCTGACCCAGCGGACAAGGCTGAGATGAGGAAGGAGAAACGAGCGGCTGTTAGACTGTAATATAATCATGAGGGAGTTTCACGTGAAGTGGCGTGATATTCGCGGTGAGATGCAGTAGTCGTGAAATGTATTTTTTCACTAGTGTTTTTCATATCACTAGGGTGGTGAAACTGCATGAATTTGTCGTGAAGGGAATATATATCCGCTTCCCTCAGCTGAGCTCAGGAGTTTCCAAAACTAATTATAGATTTCGGGTAGAAATGTATTGATATCAACGAGAATTTCCCAAAATTTCCTCTCAAAATTTTCATATTGTCATCATCACCAGCAACACATGTAGTTGACAACCATGTGCATATTTTCCGAAACTGCACTTTCGCGTGTTAGGCACCCCCTAATATCGCGTCACCACCTCCTACTGGTGACTCTATTACTGGTGAACTCACTAGCTAACGAAGCGTTGCCTCTGTTCCTAGATCAAATAGTGCCTTCTTATATGGCGGTGTTGGTCTCAGTCACGCTGGTAATACAGGGAGTATCTTGCACGCGTGCGTTAAATATTTACGGTGCGTGTATCGTCTCTCCAATTCTACAGCAGAGAAACACGGCCTTTCTACTGGTGTTTAGTTTTTTATTAGACTCTTATTTATCAGAGTTGCTCCCTAGTAAAAATTTTCAAATTTGCAATGAAAATAAACTATGTAGTGTAAGAAATTTTGCAGGAAATTTCCGATGCCGATTTCCAATGTACACCAATGACTGAGGACGAAAAATTACAGCTTTTTGAAAGGCGTATGTTTGAGTTTTAAGATGGTGGAGTTTCACCACCCTAGTGATATGGAAAACACTAGTGAGAAATGTATTTCATGACTACTGCGTAGTGCGAATATCGTGTTTTCACAGAGTATTACGCCACTTCACGTAGAACGGGTTGTGAAACTCCAATATTGGAAAATATACGGGAAAATGTGAGATTTTACGGTTCTTCGGAAGGCTGTAGTGGTGTGAAGATCCCCCCTCCAGAATCTTCGCTGTGCGATTTTGAGTATCTTTGCCAGGTGTTAGTGTTTGGCGAAATAATACCGTCTGCGGTGTTTACAGGACCAAATCAGTTATCTATAGGGGCAGCGTTGGCCCCTTTAGTGAAGTAATGCGGGAAAAACGCCGGTCGTGGGAATCGAACGCGAGGTCCTTGAGAGGGAATACACATTGACAGAAATGGATGAGGACCTCTTGGTCGTAGTTAGTATATGAGAATGAGATTTTCGTAGAAATGTCGCTACCAGGATTCGAACCAGGTTCCTAATGGTTATCTTCTACCCGGTTGCCGGCCCAGTTGCATGGTGCCTCGATAAGACTCTAGGAGAGGAGCACAAAGGGCGGTATAATAAAGCGGAGTTTAAGGCTTTGCTGAATCTACATCAGTATGACGAGGTGAGGAGGGGGTGTCGGGTTCGAACCTCGGCGAGGGTATTTTGAAGTGTGCTATTTTCTATGCATGTTCGAGTAGAAGAATTTCCTCCAGTTGGTACTGTTCCGCAGATTTGAGATGTATTTTTCGTATCTTAGACTGGCGATGTTGATATAGAAACAGGAGTGAGCGGTCAGTCCACGCCGTTGAATACTCACACTACAGCAGGGGGAGATGGTCTAACAGGGAGAGGCGAAGTCCATCATCATGTAATGCCAAAGGGCGTGGGTTCGATTCTAGGCGGCTGAATTTGTGATGGCCGCAACAGCGACAGTTTTTTTTTCCTTGGCCTTGTGGAGTGACGTATACGGAGTAAGGAGAAAATGATCTTTATCACTCCTTCTACACGCGTCGAACATAAAGTTCGTATTGTCTTTTTTGGATGTTCGTTTTGAGGGTGTGTCAAACTTGAATATTTAGTTGTCAATCTTGAAAGTAAAATTATAATTTTTGTGTGTTTACTATTCAAATTTGACGATACTGAACGGTTACGCTGGTCATCGAGGAGCTCTGATATTTTTGAGTACAGAAGTGCCTATTTAGTGATCAAAGTGATATAGTGTGACGATCGATGCTGCTCATTCGGAAATGTTGTTTTAGGGGGTTTATAGATGCATGTAGGGTAAACAGTTTGTGAAAATATGCACATGGTGAACTACGTATGATTGGTGGGTATTAATAAAATACCAGTTGGTGCAGAGGTTTCAACTAACATAACATAAATCTGGGTTGCTAATCACACAGCGCTCAAACACCTATTGGTCGTTTGAGATTTTTTTAGAAATATGAAAATTCTGAGGAAATTTTCGGGAAATTCTCGTTGGTTTTTTTCTGAACACGTGTACCGTAATTAATTTGTTAACTACCGTGGTTAATTTCAAGTCTGGCTGGAAAAAGTTACCATATATTTTCCTGCTCGTAGAAGATTCCACCACCATCGTGAATTTAGTGTTTGTTGATGACGACCTCTTTTGTCAGCAGGTCCAATTACATTCCCGTGGTGGTATTACTAAGGAGGAGCTCCGGATGATGCAAGGCGCATTGGAACTACATCGCCTGAAAGTAAAGGATGTGATGACGCCGTTGGATCAGGTAGTACTAATTCGGGTGGGAGGAGGATATTTTCGTCATGTGACATTTCACATGATCATAAATTTTTCGGAGGACTGTACGTACAAGTGGTTGAATGTGATTATGAACTCAATGAGCCCCCACCGGGTGAAGTATGCTTGTACAGTGGAAATGAGGCGTAGAGGATTTAACTCTCAACGGAGTCTCAAAGGTTGTGATAAAGGGCTAGTTGCGGTCAGACTATACTGGAATCGATCAAGATGGCGCGCGCTTTTTGAATATAGGTTGCGATGTATTCGGCTGATCAAGCTCTGGATGCCAAGACATTACAGGACATAGTGGAGAAAGGCCATTCTCGATTACCGATTTACCAGGGCTATCCACACAATGTAAAAATGCCCGCCGTGGGGATGGAACCTGGGACCTCCCGAATGAGAGAATTGATAGGTTCATGGTATGCTGCTTGTCAAACGGTTGATCACTTTGAATCCGGGAGATGCAGTTCGAATAGGAAACACCGATTTATTAGAGCCTATGGTAGGTTATATTGACGGGGGCGGAGCGAAGCGATTCATGTTTGTCAGATTTGTGATATGGAGACCACCTTGCTGGATATGCTTTATGAATTTTCAACTGGCAGGAGTCATCTAGCAGTAGCGACTGACGATCCGGAGAGGGTGAGTGGATGTTGCGCATGCGTGCAAGGGAATAATCGTACCATATTTCCTACACTTCATGGCATATGTTAGGTCATCGAGGCCATTCATGGGGAGAAGCAGATTCCATGCAACATTCACATGGCAGGGATCATCACGCTGGAAGACGTCATTGAAAGGTTGATAAAACACGATATTCAAGGTAGAACGTTTTTGGGTGGGCGAAAAAATCCGAACACCAGAACGTTTCTTGGAGGGTGAAAAAATCCGGACACGGGAAATTTTTCATTCTTTTCAAGGCCAGAGTATGAGAACGATTAAGTGGAGATCTTCGGGCTGTCAGGAAGCTATGAATATGTGTTTTTACTCCGTCAGATGAAAGCGATATATCGGTAACGCTGCAACCCGTATTGCACCTTCCTTCCTCAACTGGAGGAAAGATCAAAATGTAGTATTCTATCTCTGCCTCATTCGAGCACAGTTCGCGTGAAATGTGGTCTGTATGAATTATTCGAAGCTCTAGATAACAATAGGGAGAAATTCCCCATTGTGCGTGGTCGGACTGTATTACCTTCCTTATGGTTGGTTGTTATTAAACTATTCATCATCATCGTTAGTGTGTCTTCACTCTACCTATAGCCTGCCATATAGTATATACCGATATAGCAATATGTCATACAGTGTGGAAGTGGATGATTTGTCTTAGTCCCGCCTCCCCACATGGACGTAGCATTAAGATTAGCGCACCAACGGGTGTGTTGTCGATCAAGCATCAGCCGCCTAATAGCGTCGGGAGTAAGCTTGAATACATGGGACAATAGAGAGAGTTGTGGTATTAGGGTCAGCTTCGGTAAAGTCTAGTCATGCACCGACATCACAAGCAGGCAGGGAATCACCATCGCTCAGGGTGAGTAGTTGGTTAGGATTCACGTCCGTCACGCGGAAGGTCCTTGGTTCGATCCTTGGTTGGGTCTTTTTTTTCAGACGCCTTTGCTGAAGGATACGTCTTCTACGACGGGAGTAATGCCGGTGATCACTGAGACGTCTCCGATGTCTGCTCACTCTACGACTTCATCGAAAAGTGAGTTGGGTCTGGCAATAAGCAATCTCACCCATCTTGCATTCCCTCCAAGGTAAGAAAGACAACCCTGCATCAGCTGGTTCAACAGTACCGTCAAAGTCGCATACTCCCTCTTCTGAACAGGAGCTGACAGGGAAAAAAGATGCCAATAATACCACGGG